GAGTATCAGTGCTCCATCTTGTTTCCCTGTGGGGTGGCTGTAGGTGATCTGGAAGTCTAGTTTTGAGGCTTATGTGTCTTCTCATTTCGACGGGGGGAGGGGGTGCTGCTGGAACCTGCGTGGCTCACCTCCTCTGTGCTGGGAGCAGTGGAATGGTGGCCCAAGAGCCTCCTCCTAGGTGCTGGGATTGGCTTACCTCCTCTGCGCTGGGAGTGGTGGAATGGCGGCCCAGGCATATTTAAAATTTTTAAATTACAATTTCATCAGTGTTAATAAAACAAAAACATTTAGACTGTACCTTCAAAATTTTAACACTAGTGGTTTTTTAGTTAAAAATAATTGGGTATTTTTTAATCATGAAATTCTTAGTAGGGCAACAAGTATATGAGTATGATGTGTGATAATTGAAACTTATAGTAAAATTAGGAAATGGCATTTTGCTAAACTTTTAAAATCAGTAAAATTTTAATTACTATTGCTATTACTTTATTTCATGAGTTTTAATCTACTTAAAATATAAAATGTAGGATTTTGGTGATAGTTTAGTTTTTTAGAACGAATAACATCTGAAATACTATATCTGACTGCACTGTTTGAGGCAGAATGGCTTCACTGAGAAAAACCCACATTGAAACCTCATTGGACTTTGAATTGACCACCTGCTTGAATGACAATCTAGTTTCAACCAAAATTTCAGAAAAATGTGTATTATGTCATCGTGTAAGTCACCGTATTTCAGTTATCCATGAGTGTTATCAAAAGATACAGAACAAGTAAATCTCTTAAATATTTTCTAAATAGGCTATTTGCTGGCACACATAAAACCATCAAAGAGAATTACAATATATCTGAAAAGCTGGATATTGAAATATTTTAAAATAGGTAGAGTCAATAGATCTCAGTAGGTATCCTTAAGTGATAGAGCTTCAAAAATAGTTTGAATATTATATCAAACCTGTGTGCTTATTTAAATTGAAATTAATGGAAATAGTTGAACATTTAGAAAATGAGTGTTTTCAAGTGATTTGTACATGATATTTCATCAGAGATGTCAATACTTTAGCTTTATAAAAAATTTCAGTTATTAAAATGGATTGAAAAATATTAAATGTGATGGAAATACAAAACTAAAAATGTATTTAAAAGGAGAAGCTACTGTAAAAATGAAGAAAATTTTACACCATTTGAAGCAAAGCAAAAATTAATAAAATTAAGCTAATTAACATTCCCATGACTTTGTGACTTAGTAATAGAAATATTGGCTACCTAAAATTTTCAGAAGGCATATGAGAGCTAGACAGATTTTGAATTACTACTCAGGAGAAGCAGGGATAAGACTTACTGAACATTATCCTTAATGTAAAGCAAAATGCACTGCTTATTTGAGATACATCACTTGTTCATTATCAGTTTATTGGGGAAGCTCTTCAAAAAGTGCATTGTGGTTCTCTTTGTCCATTGTTGGCTCCCTACGCTGTATCATATAGCTAGTGATAGATATATTAAATATGCATATATAACAAGTTTTTTTAATTGCTTTTTTAAAAAATCCCCAGAGACTACAATTCTTTAAACTACACTGATACTTTTTTTTTTCTTTTTTTTTTTTTTAACCGGGGATTGAACTTGAGACTTTGCGCTTGTGAGGCAGGAGGCAGAACCACTGAGCTAAATCTCCGGCCCCTACACTGTGATTCTTTAAGGATACTTTTAGTGTGAGTTTAAAATAGGGTGCATTCTGGTCTGCCAAAAAGATGATTAAATCAGTTCTTTCCCACAGCACAGAGGTCCATCCACTTACATGTGGGAGTTGAGGTCTCTGAAGATCACCAGGGTGCCCCAGGACTAGGCCCCAGAGCTCAGTCAAGACCTTCTGGAGCGTACATGCCTGAACTGTCCTGGCTCCCAGCAGCTGGAGCCTCCACAGCCAGCAGCACCCAGGAACTTGGCAGCCAGTGGGCAGCACCCCACACACACAATGGCAGCCCCCTTGGCCTCCAACCGCAGCCCTAAATTAGAAATAACACAAATTTCTTTGAGCATTAGGGATGAATGGTTAAACAAGCTGTGGTACATCCATACTATTAAGTACTGCTCTGTAATAACAAGGAACAAGCTAGATTCGTGGATTTCTATAGAATTATTTTGAGTGAAAAAGCCAATCTCAAAAAGTCACATATATATGATTTTATTTATACAATAATCTCAAAGTAAAAAAATCTCCATCAGGCACTTCCAGGGACTAGGGTGGTGGGAAAATTGAGCCTGTTCTGCTGTAAAGGGGAAGAACAAGGGAGCTTTGGGGGATGGAACCGTCTTGCATTTTGAATGTCATGGTGGTTACATGTGATATAACTGAAGGGAAGAAACTCAAACAAATGAGCACACAGAAAACTGGTGAAATCTGAATAAACTCTGTAGATTGGACCCATGTCAACTTTCTGGCTTTGCTCTTGTACTATCTAGGTAGGCCAGATGGTACCATTTCGGGAATCTAGGAAATAGTGTACAGCACTTCTCTGTGCAATGTTTGTAATCACTGCATGTGAATCTATAATTACTTTTTCAATAAAAAATCAAAATAACTGATGAAAGTATATATTATAACATATCAAATAAGAGGAAACCATGAGTCCATACTTATATGAGTAAAAGGAAAACATAAATAGAATCTTTATGAAGAATGGGATATTTACATAATATCAAGTAGCTCACCACTACATATCCTTAGATTAAAAGGGAAAAATAGTACAGTAACTTTAAAGTAGAGAAGGTAGATAGGGGTGTAGTTGAGTTGTAGAGCATTTGCCTAGCATGGTGGAGGCCCTGGGCTCCAGCCTCAGCAAGCCAAAAAAAAAAACGAAACCCTACCAAGAAAAAAAAAATGACTATAGGTGAATTGACTACCCCTTTCAAGAAGATAGGGATAAATAAAAGAAAGAAAAATAAATACAAAACAAGTAAATAAATAAATGCAAACCGAGATAAAAGTTTAAAAATTGAAAAAAATGACAGACCGAATACATTAATATAAATAATTTTCTTTTAGATAATAAATATAGACCTAGATACCACGGTGCATACTTGTAATCGCAGCTACACAGGGAGCTGAGGCTGGAGGAGTGAAAGTTGGAGCACAGCCTAGGCAATTTAGCAAGACCAGGTCCTGAAAGGAAAATAAATTAATAAAAAGGGCTTGGGATGTGGCTCAGTAGTACAGCCCACTGTGTTCAATCATCAGCACTGCAAATAAACAATAAAGAAAAATAAGCCATTAATAAACTGCTCTTTAATGAATATGGAGAATAAGAATTATAAGAGAAATTATTACAATTCCAGAAGGTAATAGGCAATCATCAGGGCTACTTGTTGAATACTATCCAAATTAACTTAGAAATCTGAATGAAATGTGTATTTTTTTAAGCAAATCTGATTCTGGAAAAGAGAAAATTAAAATTATCATTTACTATTGAAGAAATAGAATGAAAATTGCAAACTACCCTCCCAAAGTGCCAGGCCTAAATGGAATTGTACTACTGCTCTTTAAACTTTTCCAAGGCCAAAAAATAAAAATTAAAAAAAAGAGGAAAAATTTTTGTGGTACTGAAGGTTGAACCTAGGGCCTTCACACTGAGCTACACACACCCTTGGCCCTTAAAATTTTATTTATTTTGAGAGAGGGTCGTGCAAAGTTGTCCAGGCTGGACCTGAATTTGTGATCCTTCTGCTTGTGCCTCCAGAAGTTCTGGGATTACAAGCATGGCCCACTGAGGTGGCTGGATTTTTTTGTTTTGGTTTGGTTTGGTTTGGTTTGGTGTTTTGAGACAGGGTCTGGATATGTAGTTCAGGCTGGCCTTGGATTTGCTAGGTAGATAGCCCAGGCTGGCTGCCAACTCCCAGCCATCCTCCTGCCTCAGCCGAGTATTTCTTCAACACTTTAAATTCTTCTGCTGCTGCTTCTTCTTCATCTTCTTCTTCCTCCTCCTCCTCCTCTTCTTCCTCTTCTTCCTCCTCCTCCCTCCCCCCCCCTTTTTTTGAGACAGGGTCTCATTAAGCAATCCCCATGTCTCCCAAGTGCTGGGATTACAGGCTAACATGTTAATTTCAAACCAATGGCCAGTATCATATTATGGTTGGCATATAGAAGCTATGTACCAAAGTTAGGAAAAATATGAAATTGGTTACACTCAGAACCTAACACGTCCTAAAGAAACAGCCAGTGGTAGTAAAGAAATTAGAGGCAAAAACTAGAGGAACAACTATTAGAAAGGAAAGAAACATGCACCTTTTTTGAAAAGGCAGGTGCCATATACACACTAAAACGCCCAATAACCTCCAGGTGCTGTATACAGATGAAAGAATCATCAAAATGTTAATGCCAAACAAGAAAAAGACATTTAGAATGATATTTCTATAAATGTGGAGAAAGAGTACCTGGCCACAGTATTCTCTATAAAGGAAAAGACAGTCATACTTCAACAAGAAGTTCTTTAGAATATGAGAAAATACTAAACCTTTAATCAGTGACCTGGCCTCCAATCAGATCCCTCACCCCACAGACTGTCCATCACTCACGGCCCTCGTCCCTCACCCCCTCACCCCTCACCCCACGCACTCTCCGTTCCTGACCGCACAGATCCCCACAACTGGGCTTATTGCCCCCGACCCCACCAGTAACCCAATTCTTCATCCCGGAGACAACCAGGTGTCCTGTGAGTTGCTGTCACAAAACTCCCTTCTGCCTAGGTCTGTCCCCTTCTTTTGAGCCTCCCCTAGTTGGACCGACCCGCACCCTCCTTAAAGGTTGTGAAGTGTGTTTGTACACAGCACGCCGGCTCTGGTGACTGTAGAGCCTTAGCTTCCCGAGAAATGATTACAGGCCCGACTGGGTGCCAAAATTTCGGTCAGACTTAAGTGGTATCGCCCAGAAGGGTGTATTGCATTAACCCGACTTCTCTCCGCCCTCCACTGGTCTGGCCCAGGAGAGGATTGTACCACTCTTTCCCCTCTCGCTGAATGCGTCTCTTGCGGGATACACCTCCCTATTCCCCAGACGAGAGGGGAGTTTTTACTTCACTAAACTTTACACAGACCTATAGAATTCAGTTCCAAAGACCACCTTCTCCTGGACGCTTGCCTTCAGACGGCTTCCACCGGTGGACATCCCCTTGCCGCTTTCTTGTGTGGAACAGTCCTCTGTACGGAATGAGAATTATGATGGCGGCTCTCAGGAAAAAATAAGTGGCGCAGCCATGCTGTTCTCCTGACGCTGCCGCTCCCGGCCAAAGTCTCTGCGGATCCGTAACAGTACCTTCTTCAGTGTGAGTATACTGCAACCTCTGTGGTTATGATCCTATGCAAAACCAACATCTCTCTAAGGTGCAGTGTCAGGGGGCAAGGACAGGAAACGGAAATAGTCCTTAGGGGTCATTTAAGTGTTGTTGGCGCCCGGCACTAAATTCTGTGCGTGGGGGTTTATGGCGTGACAGTAGCTCAGGTAATTTAGAGGTGATGGCTTTGTTGGGTATGGGGGATAATAAACTGGCAGTTTGGGGTGTCAGTTGGTGGTGAGTTAAAGGATCTAATGAATGGGAGACTGTGGACTGTGGCGACCTCTGGGGGAGTCAGGTTTAGCTTCCTGGCAGCATCTTGTCAAGCCTTGACTGTGTGTTTGTATTTTTCCTTAATCAGTCTGTATCCCCAGAGCTTGCTCATTTTATTAGTCATTCCAAAGAACCAATTTTAGCTTTGTTGATCCTCTCTAATGTGCTTTTGTTTTCTATTTCCTGTAATTTCCACTCTTATGTGTATTGTTTCCTTTTTTCTAACTTCCTAAATTGGATGTTAATTCATTAATGCTCAACCTTCCTTTGTTAAAAAAAAAAAAACTAAAAACATAAATTTTTCTTGCCTCAGCCTCCCGAATAGTTAGGACTGTCGGTGTTTGCCCCCACGCCTGGATGAGCATTGGCATTAAAAAACAAAAAAACAACTTATCCACGGATATGATGTCTATGTAACTATTTTATATTTGTCAATAAAACTTTTTTGAGAAAGGGTCTCACTATGCAGTCCAGGTTGGCCTTGAACTCACTATGTAGCCTAGGCTGGCCTCAAACTCAGAACAATCCTTCTGTCTCAGCCTCCAGAGTGCTGGGATTACAGGCATGTGCCACCATACCTGATTAATATTTGTCAATTTTTGAAAACATTTTCAATCGTATTAGCCCAGCTTCTTTCTTTGTGTGTGTGTGTGTGTGTTAGTGAGGATCGAACTCAGGAGCACTGTACCACTGAGCTACAGCCCCAGCCTTTTTATTTTTATTTTATTTGTGGTACTGGGGCTTGAATATAGGGCCTTCACTCTGAAGTACATCCCTGACCCTTTTTTATTTTGTATTTTGAGACAGGGCCTCACTAAATGGACTTGTGATTCTCCTGCCTCAGCCTCCCAAGTGCTGGGATTACAGGAGTGCGCCACTGTGCCCAGTTGAAGTAAAGCTCCTTTAATAAGTACTGTATAGTCTATATTCTTGAATATTTTATTTCTTGCTGCTATAATTATTAATGTATTTTTCTTCTATCTCCATTTGCTCATTGCTATTATAGGGAAACACTATCTGGTCTTAGAATTTTATCTTTATCCAGCCCCTTATCAAAATACCTTATGAATTTTAGTAACCTTTTCCCAGTGTCTGGTAGGTTTTCTATGTCCAAAATCTTATCATTGTCCAAAAAAGCTACATTTTCATTTTTTCCCCAGCGTTTACTCTGATTATTTCATCTAAAGCTCATAAGATGCTGGGAGCGATGCGCTGTAGATCACTATGGCCAGACCTAACTTGCCTCCTCCCGACAAGAGGGCATAGAGGAACAAGGCCTGGCCCAGAAGAGGACTGTCTTCCTTCCTGCCCATTCACCAGAGAAACATCAAACATGATGTCCTGCAGACCTTAGCTCCAGTTACAGACCAGCCCCTTTTACAACCCCCTGCATTTCCCCTACCTCTACCACTATAAATAAATGTGTGGCCATTTGCTTGGTGGTCTTTTCCTCCCATCAGGAGTTAGAGCCCCACCTGGCCCCACCTATACCATATTATATCTCTTTGTCTGACTTTCTTAATCTCTCACCATCATTTCTCATTTCTCACTCTGTGAACCCTTCAGCCACGCGGGCCGTGGTTGTAACCCAGTTTTGAGTTATACTGGACATCTCCATCTTTTTACTGTTTTTATCTTTGTGATGCTAGGGATGGAATCCGCAGTCTCACATGCTAAACATGCACTCTACCACTGAGCTATACCCCCAGCCCTTACTGCTAATTTCAATGGCAGTAGGTCCATTATTTTACTTTTTGGCATGGTGTTTGGCATGGCTATGTTTCATGAATGATTTTTATGACATTTAAGTTATTTTCTTCTTCCCTAATTGTAGTTTGCACTTTTATTAATAATGGCTGCTGAAAAAAAAGATGTTGAGTTGTGTTAGATGCTTTTTGGTGTAAGTTAATAGCATGTTTCCCCATAATTTGTTGATGTAATAAACAATAGTATTAATGTGGAACTTTCATATGGAAAGAAGAGGCTAAAATCATCCCTGTAAAAGAATTTAAGAAGGATTTTTCGGCCCGAGGATTTAGCTCAGTGGTTCCACCGCCTGCCTTGCAAGCACAAGGTCCTGAGTTCAATCTTCGGTACCAAAAAAAAAAAAGAAGAAGGATTTTTCACTTTAAAATGAAAAAATTACAAAAGATGACAGAAGAGACTACCTGTTTCCTTTCATTCAGATCACTTGGTTTCCTGCCTGCAGTGTCACCCGCCAGGCCAGGGACAAGTCCCTCCTCTCCCCATGGAGCATCACCATTCACTGTCCTAGTCCCACCCTCTCTCCAAACCTAGATCTGGCACTGAGGGGTAGGCTGGCTGGGTAGGGTGTAAAATACCTCATGGAGCAACCCAAGAGTAATGGGCCCCCACCTCGTTAATTCAACTCCAGATATGATCGTTTCTATACTCACCCTGAGTAATAGAGTAGGGATTCTTGAACTTTGTGGGGTGAATGCAGAATGATATTGATAACATGGAAACTGCCCTTTCAGGATTTCTTGGAGTCTGTGGAGCCATTGAGCCTTAGGCCTTACTGGAGGCTGCAGGATCTTCTGCATACAGACCCCTCTCCAGCTTTGAAAGGGGGGCTGAGGCCTAGGGTGAACATGCCAGCTAATGGGAAATCACCCCAGAACTTCCCTGCCCTGATTCCAGGAGAACCTGGCAGATCATTTGAGGTAAGGAGGAGAGCCTACTTTTGTCTATTTGTTTTTTCATTCATTATTTTTTAGTATGTTTTGATTTTGAAATAATTGTAGATTCAAATACAATGTAAATGTTATAAACAGCACACATGAAACCACTCATTTGAAACAGGATTTTGTGAGGAAAAGAAAAGTTTATTCCAGTGAATAGAGACTAAAATCAGGGGCTAAAATCAGAGATAGATTCCAGCAGCTAGCTGGGAAAAGCTGAGTTTTTTACATCCGTGTGTGAATGGGCTGACACTGGGAGAGAGAAATAGCAGCAGCTAGCTGGGAGAGATTTCATCCATGAGTGGATGGGCTAACAATGGGCTAACATGATGTGGAAGGGGGGAGATTAGCAGCTAACTGGGAAAGGAATTAGGTTTATATAGGTATTGAAGGGGCTAAGGATTCTGGGGTGAAATGTTTATGATTGAGTCCAAGGACAGTCACCATAGGTGTGTGGACAGTCACTGGACTTTTTGATGCCAGGGAGATTGTCTTCTGTTTACTGAGAAATAGCCTGTTGTCTGCTGAAAGCAGCCTGTTTGCTTTTGTCCTGTTTGTTTGTGAAGGACTCACGTCAGGCACGGCAATAAAGTTTACTCCATTTCCCTTAATGGTAACATCTTGTAAAACCTTGGAACAAGATCATGACCAGGATATTAACATACAAAACATTTCCATCGCCACATGGATGTCTCATTTTAAACTTTTAATAACTAGGACTACTTCCCTCCCACCCCTACTTCCTTACTCCCTAGTAACCACCAATCTGTTCTCTAATACAATATAATTTTGTCATTTCAAGAATGTTATATAAATGAAATCACTGAGTATGTTAGCTTTTGGGATTGGCTTTTTTTGCCAAGCATAATTCTCTGTAGATTCATCCATGGCTATGTGTAACAATAGTTTGCTCCTTATTGCTGAGTGGTATCTCATGGTGTTGATGTGCCACTGCCAAAAGCAAAACAAAACAAAAAACTATTACTTCTCTGCTCTTTTGTCAAAGATTAGTTGACTATCTTTATATGGCTCTATTTCTGAGCTCTCTTGTCTCTTCCATTGATCTGTCTATTCTTTCACAAATGCCATACTGTTTCGACTACTCTAGCTTCACTTTTTTTAATTTACAATTTTAGTGTTACTGGGGATTTAACCCAGGGCCTCTGCACTGAGCTATATCCTCAGCCCTTTTTCATTTTTTATTTTGAGACAGGGTCTTACTAAGTCACTTTAGTTGCCCTGTCTAGGCTTGAGCTTGAAATTCCTCCTATTTCAGCCTCCCAGAGTGCTGGGAATATGAGCATGCACCGCCATGCCTGATTTATAGTAAGCCCTAAAGCCAGCTAGTGTCAGTACTGTGAGTCATAGAAACATGTAGTTTGGGAATTAAAAAGCTGAAAAAGGAGGGCTGAGGAATCTTTGATTCCTAGATGGTGTCATAGAGAAATTGCTCAGACCCTAGTTAAAAACAGCAAGGAAAACTTTATTCAAGACTTTTGGAATAGGAGAGAAATTGAATTCAACCCCTGCATACAATAGGAGTATATTTTTGTCATTGGGCATGAAGTAGATGGAAAATTTCTAAGAGGAACTTGGTTAATATCAAGAATAGGGGAAGAGTTTGATTAGATCACCCTTGATCAGGTGGGGAATTCTCTCTAAATTAGCTTAGCAGGATTTTTGGTAAAATAGAGCTTGTCAGAAAAAGGACGAGGCCTAGATCCTGACTAAAGGGTTGACTAAGAAGGGTGTCCTTGTCAGTGCCCAAATGGTCACCTATGGTATGGAATGGCAGCTGTGCAGGAATCAAATTACTAAAGGCAAAAGGTACCAGTGGAATTCAATGATAGATCCAACTCCTGGGGAGTTGGTTCACTGGAAGCATAAGGAAATGCAAACCAATGAGAAAAAAGCAAAAAATATATAGACTCTTAGTTTTTGTTATCTATAATAGCTAAAATGAATGTAAAAGAGTGCTAGGTTAGATTTTTTTGCTGGACTAAGTAGGCTTAGATTTTTCTTAGTTAGAATTTTTTTTTCAGTACTGGGGATTGAACCCAGGGCCTTATACTTACCCAGCCTGTTTTTATTTTTTACTTTGAGAACAGAGTCTAGCTAAATTGCTGAGGCTGGGCTTAAATATGTGATCTTCTTGCCTCAGCCTCTCAGAGTGCTGGGATTACAGGAGTGTGCCACCATGTCCAGGCTGGTTAGTTGGACCTTTGACCAGTAGCTTCATGGCCCTCACAAAGGTAAAGATCATCCTGGGACAACAGAGAGTAGTTAGATTTAAGGCTTCTGGTCACCAATAAGGTGGTCCAGTTGGAGGAAGGGCATAACTTAGAAATTACTGAAGCCAGGAGCTGTGATGCGAAGAAGAGGTCTCATTTTATAGATAGGATATGGTCAGCTTTCTGAAGAACCTTTATTAATGTGAGTTGTGAGAGTAACTAATATACTAGCAGTATCTTTGGGTTTGAATACTACCAAAGGACATGTTTGGGTTTCTGCAAGACCTGCACCCTCTTGGAACAGAGAGACTATACTTGATCCATACAAACAGGAAGTTTTCCATAAGAGAACAGCCAACCTGGCAGACTTGAGAAGGGGGATTGTCTGACTCTCCCTATTAATGCCAAGTGGGACATTCTGGATAAAATGGACGCATGCCTTATGTGGATGGCTTTATCATAATTTGGGTATTCATTTGCCCACTGTGCCCATTGCCCAGGTCCTGGTAAATGCTGTGATTAAAGGAACCAGGACCTCTTTTGCATGGGCACCTTAGTGCTGCAGAATCCAGCAACTGGAGCCTCATTGAATTTGACATCTCAGCTTCCTCTCCTGGGTCCTACATGTGCTAATAAAACATTAGGTTAATTAACAAGAAAATGAGGAGAGGCAGAATAAAGAGTCAAGTCCCCTAGCAGGGTAAAGCTCTTTAGATGGTTATTAAGAAGCGGGATGAATAAAATAGACGTTGAGGGCTGGGGATGTAGCTCAGTGGCACCACACCTGCCTCGCAAGCGCAAGGTCCTGAGTTTGATCCCCGGTGCTAGAAAATAAAAATAAAAATAAAAAAATAAAAAAGACGTTGATGGGTTTGAAACAAAAGCCTTAATACAGTACTGTGGAAGGTTGGTTGGATCAAAGGGACCCCTTGCTGGTCTCCAGCTGTTAAAGGGCCCCAAACAAGTCTGTTCTATTTATCCTAACTAGGGGGAATTTAAAAATCCAAAAGGTGTGGGATGGAGGTATAGCTCAGTGGTAGAGCACTTGCCTAGAATAAGCAAGGCACTGGGTTCAATCTTCCACATCTCTAAACTAAGAACAAAACAAAACAGGGCAAAGATTATGAGAAACCTACCCTCAACTGCCTGAGACAAATAAGATAAAAATTGATCCAAGGGCAAGAGTTCTATAGTTCCACCCCTCAGTGGGACCCGAAGCCGTATGCACTTAATGAGTAGAAAAGTAAAGTTTCTGGTGCTCCTTGACATGGAAGCCTCGTACCGAAATCTATTGGTGAAGCCCTAACCTGGGCTGTAACTAGATCAAGAAATATAGAAATGTAAGGGTTGATAGGATTACAGTGGAAGTTTGATGAGAATTGCCATGATTAAACAGGCTTTCCCTGAGTGTTCTATGGTTATGGATATTATGTCTCATGAGGAAACACTTCGCCTATCTATAGTATTCTAAAACCAAAACTTGTCAAAGAAATCCTAATGGAGGCTACACATAGGAATGTAAAGGTTGATGAGATGAAGGTGAAAGTTTGGGGGAGAATTGGTATGTTTGAATAGGCATGTTCGAATAGGCTTTTCTGAAAAGTAGTTGCAGCTGCCTTTTACCTGAATGTATTATAGAAATGGACCCTGGGGCCGGGGATTTAGCTCAGTGGTGCCGCTGCCTGCCTCACAAGTGCACGGTCCTGAGTTCTATCTCTGGTACCAAAAAACAAAACAACAAAACAAAACAAAAAACCAAATGGACACTGTATCTGACTGTAGAGTGTTCTCTTTTTTGGTACCGGGGATCGAACTCCGGTCCTTGCGCTTGCACAGCAGGCGGCGAAACCACTGAGCTAAATCCCCGGCCCTAGTGTTCTCCCTAGTATTATAAACCCACACTTCAAGCAAGATTACTTGGATAGGCTAAATGAGAACCAATAAGATTACCCAAGCCAACAGAGGGTAGAATAGAACTTGGGTTGTTGATACAGACAAATACTTTGGTGTGGCGCGTAGTCTAGGACTCAAGGCAAAAAGCCTATGAGCGCCCTCCAGTGGTAAATACCAGGATTTTGGACTAGAGAATTTCCATTTGAATGGCAATTACTAGCTGGCTATCAGACCTTAATTAAAATTGTCCCTATGATTGAAGGGCATAAAATAATTTTTTGCAATGCTGGAGATTAAACCCGGAGAGCAGTAAGCTGCATCCACAGCCCTTTTTATTTATTTTTATTATGAGATAGACTCTCACTAAGTTCCCCAGGCTGGCCTCAAACTTGTGATCCTCCTGCATAGACTCCCAAGTATATAGGATTATAGGTGTATGCCACCATACCAGTTCATAAAATAATTTTGAAACATAAAATACCCATGATGTCTTAGCTGATGGAGAAAGGCTGTAAGGGAGAGGTTAGTAGTACCCAGAGTGTTACTAGCCAGTCAGGTTCATATGCTCACTGCTGACCAAATAAAGGAGGCCATATATTTTGATAAAAATGAAAAAGGGTATATTCAAAGCTAGCTCCAAGGAGATAGAGGGGCCCATTTTTCTCAAATCACCATCTCCCTGAATACAGGTGGACAAAGGTCTTTTATAGCTTTATCACTTCCAGCCTGGCTCATTGTCCCTTTTCTTGTAGAAAGGAAACTGGGTTCTGACCTCTTGGGGCCAGCATCTGCATATTCTCTCACTGCTTTAGGGCTGAGGAGAAGAGCAAGGCATGGGGTGTTAGTTATATTCTCAGC